AACGCTCACTAGCTGCTCACGATAAAAAGAGAGTCCGGCCGAAAGAAAATGTTCACAGTTTCTTATTTTGTGTGGATTGGATTGTCGCTTCGATGCATTCTACGAACAAGATAGGTTTATTGATACATCGATGATTAGATTGATAGCCAGGCAGATAGACAGTTTGCTGCTTGCATGATGTATTTACATGTATTTTGCTCTTGTTTGTTTGTTATTTTGTTCAAGATGGTCCAATATGTGTTGCATGCCAGAAAGTATTCTTTGGTTCTGTGTTGCCAGATAGCACGACCTACTTCGCTGAAGAACGGCCAAGAAAGGAGATCCCCTCATGGCAAGCGCCCTATTGAGTAGATGGCACAGACTCTGGGAGAAGGTGGTTCTACATACCCCGGAAAAGAATGAATAGACTACACACAGGCGCACACAAGATGATGTTGTTTTTCCCCCCCACCTGCAGTCTGGTACAAAGGGAGAAGCCATTTCATTGGTTCCAGCGTGGAACGTAGAACTTCCAAGATGTGGAAGTGGAAACACCAACGAAAACATACAGCTGGTTGCAACGTCACATTCTCATCCGTTTGAACTGCTCCCAGCCTAGGTGGAATACGTGTTTATGTGAACGTTATTGTCTATTTGTGTTTTTTGCTTTTTGTGGGTAGATAGTAGATAGTTTATATATATAACATGTATTATGATATATTATGAAATTTAATTATCATACATTTACACATATGCACAGCCGCCGAACGACTTGTGGCTTGACAAACCGCACGACTCGACTCCAGCTGCTCAGCAGCTCGGGGACGACCACCAGGAACACCCATGGCGCCAGGGCCCAAATGGATGGCTGTTTCGGATGTTTATCTGATTTTGGACCCTACCAACAGTCACCAGGCGTACTTGGAAAGTGATTTGGACCGTCCGGTTTTCGTTGAACAGACCACCAGCAACCGACCACCACCGTCTGCGTTGACAGGCCTCGGTGCGGCTCTGCACGAAGGAAGGCACGGGTCTGCGGTGGGTTGGGTGTTTCCAGTTCCCAGATTCCGACTTTCCCTGCGGTGAAGGAAGGCATGGAGGAGAGATTGATGGAGAGTGCCTGAAAGAGAGTGGATCCTATAGTCATCTAGAGTATTCTATAGTCTACTTATTTCTAGCATGTTCTATCCTGTTCTAGCACCCAAAGGGGTTCACTCGACTTGGTGGACTGCCCAGAGGTCACCCAACTGGTATCAAAATCGAAGAACGATGCGTGACACAAGTAGAAAGTGATGTCTTTCTGGACCTCCAGCTTTCCCAGAGCTTTCCAAGATGCATCCGTTTGTTCCGCCACGTTTCCTCCTGTTTCTTCCTTCTCTCGACCAAAGCGCCGGCTCCCGACAACACGCGGCCAGGATGGTCGGCCTTACACTTGGCGGCTGCCCAAGGCGCTGCCGAAGTGTGCCCGGACACCCAGCGCGGCCGAAGACGAATGCGTTTGGGGCAGGTGCAGCAGCCAGCGTGGCTCTGTAAGATGCGGCACGTAAGGACACCGAAGGCAAATTAAATTGAACAAAGAAGATTCACGAAGAGATGAGGGTTCCAAACAAGTTCAGTCTCGGTGCTGCTCGGGTTCTGAACTTGTAATTAGATAGTAACAGATGTTTGTTGTTCCTGGACATTACTATTTGCATCAGGTGGGAAGGCGTGATTGTCATTGTCAATTGTTTTTGCTGTCTTCGTTTGACCACTGGCTTTTGACTCAGGACCTTCGAGTGTATTTCAGTTGACAAAATTAAAACACAAGCGGTGAAGAGGTGGAGATCGAAGGAAGGACCATCTAAATAGGATTCTGATTCAGTTTTGTTTTCCATTGAAATATCAAGACCAGGACCATCCGACCGGCGTCCTGGCTGGAGATCCAGCCAGCCAGTGTAGGGTTGTCCACCCTTCCCCCATGGCCCGCCCCATCTTGGTGCTGCCGCCACCGTAGCGATGCCAGCCCCGTTCGTAGCGTCCGATTGCTCCAGGCTTGCAGTTGTTGGAGTGCCCCTTCTTCACTCAAATCTCTGAGCCCGACTATGAGGCGATGCCCCAAACGCACGCACGCCGCCTCGGACCCGCCGCTTCGTCCGAACCGGGTGCCGAGGCGGTGTGCCGGCACCCGTCCTCTGTGGTCGTCCCACTGAAGCTGAGGGCTGTCCCTGTTGGAAAGCCGTCGTTTCCTTTCTTCGAATTGGTCAACAGGCCACTCCAAAGGATGTGGTCTACACCCAGAAGCGACCCTGGACCCTCCTAAAGGGGCCGTACCCTCATGGAGGGGTCCGGACCCGAACATGACCGGTCGGCCTGGTTTCACGGAGCGTATGGGTAGGACAGTTTCCCATGTCTTCCACCACCGGACTTGAAGACTGGAACACTCGTGGCACCCAATGGACTGGTTGATGGGTCCTTCCTATTCGAGCTACACACTCACAGGCTGACAGGTGTTTTTGTTGGATTGGTTGGGTGTGTCCCATTACCTATTCAAACTATATATATAAGTATAATTATATATATACACGGATGATCAAAGATCATCACAATTTTTCAGATGTCGGCCTGCAATCTAACCATCATCATCCAGTGGTTTTGCACCTTTTAGACAGGACGAAGTCCAAAGCAGACGCCAGCCGACCCCGCCATAAGGTGCGAAGTATATAGCATGGCGTGGTGCATCAGCAGGGACTGGCACAGGCCTCTTCTTATAGGAATTAGCAGCACCTAGGAATGTAGTGTAGCGAATGAGTAGGGATGCGATGTTATATCATAGTTAGTTAGCTAGTTAGTTTCTCGTTTGTCTCTAGTGTTTTGCTATCAAGCCTTGCCCACCCTCCCGTGGGGGGGAGGGGGTGTAGGGACATGCCTGGAAAATGGCATGGGAGAAAGTCCCTCGAAGGTCCCACGAAGGGGACCTATATAGAGGGCGAGGTTTACGATGATGGAGGCGACCCACAAGGCACAGTGGTCTTGTGGGTGAAGCGCCTGTTCGCCCCGGGAGAGACCGGGAGGACTTTGCATGGGGACGTGGTGACTGCTACCGATCCATATTACAGATGGTGGCTTGCGAGTCCAGACGGGGCAGTCACCACGGTGGACGGAGCATATCGTATATGCAAAGGTCCTCCCGCCGAATGTAAGGGCGGAACAGGAGAACATGTGGTCCACTTAGGCAAGTGGCGACAGTGGAAGGAAGAAGAGCTCGTTGACAACAGCGGAGGGATCCTGGATGAGGATACAGATGGACATGTGCAGGCATATTTCAAAAGAGTCCCAAAGGAAGGGCCAGGCGCTGGAGGAGCTGGTGATTTGCCCTGGGATGACCCAGGTGATGATGAAGAGGATGGAGAGGAAGAGAAAGGGAAGAGCGCGCCAGGGCCGTCCGGGAAGGAAAAGGCTGCAATGAAGAGAACGACAGAGAGGAAAGGGTCGGAAGAAGAATTGGTGAAGAAAAAGAAAAGGCTGACAGAGTTGGCCAGAGACCTCAAAGCCCTGAAGGCGGAGGTGAAAGCAGCTGAAGTCACCGAGGAAGAGAAGAAAGGTGCAGGCAAGAAGGAGAAGAAGGGACGGAAAAGAACGAAGAGTGGAAAGGGAAGCCCTCCCTTTTCAGGTGAGATGCGAGGAAGCGCGCGGAAGGTGAAGACTAGCCCGGAACCCGGTGGATCGTCTTCGGAGCCGGATTCCGATGAGGGCTCATCCTCTGACAAGAGTTCAGGGCGCAACCAAAAGCGAACTTCAAGAAGCAGGGGAAAGAAGAAGCAGAGGAGCAAAGGACGGAGTTCTCCTTCAGATCCCTCCAGGTCACGGAGCCGAAGGAGGCAAAGCCACAAGAAAAAGAAGAGAGGCAAAAAGAAGAACAAAAGGCCGAAAGACAGAGGGCCCTTTGGAGTGGCCGAATCAGATGAAGATCCCGACAGATCGGAAGCCGAGGATGATTCGGAATCGGATTTTCAAAAGGCCCCCGCGGGGATGACGCTGTTTCTGAAGTTGCAGCGTTACGCTCAGCGGCACCCCGGCCGGCTCGCGGCCCGTCTCCTCCATACCATGGGGGTAGCGGGGCGCGTCCCCGTGGGGGCCTTGCGACAAAAGGGGAAGAGCATTCTCAAAAACATCGAGGCAAACGCAGTGTCCTACTACAACGTGGCCTTGGTCCCGAACCTGAAGGCGAAATGGACTCCACGATCCGGGAGAGAATTGAAGTACCTCACAATTCTCCTGGACCTACTGGTCGAGAACAAGTCGGCGCAGGCTGCCGACATCATTGCCCAGAGGATCAAGGCTCTGGAGAAAAGCGTGCAAGACAACAACAGTTGGGTGAGGGCACGCTTCCTCGAGCTGGTGGAGCCAGACGACGTAGCCCTTCTGGACAGGGGGGGAGGAGGCAATGATCCAGAAGGAATTGGAGCGGGAGGAAAAGCTCCGAGGACCATCCGAATGGAAAGGAAAAGGCCATTGGAAGGGCAAAGGGGAGCACGAATTCGGAGCCAAGGGCCAAGGCAAGGGGAAAGGAAAGAGCAAGGAGAAGGGAAAGCGGAAGACGCCGGCCGAGGACGCTGCCGAGAGGAAGTAGATGGTGGCGCCTTGGCAAACCGAATCCCAGCGGAACCCAGTGAACCCCCCAGACCCCAGAGGGGAGCTTCAGCGGAAGCGAAAGTCCGAAAAGGATGTTGAGTCGCCCGAAGGTGAAGTGGCATCTTCGGAGGAATATGAAATTGAAGAGGAGGCCTTGAACAGGTTGTGGAAGAAGCATAGACAAAAGTTTGAAAGAAAAATGGCAGGGTTTCTTGCAGAGGAACGGGATGCATTGGAAGTGGCCTGGCATGTGCTGGAAAATGCTGGGCATCTCAGGACAAAGTTTGGCAGGTTTCGGACGACTTTGGGTCAAAAGGCCACAGCCCAAGATGCCCCTGAGGGCCCCGATCTCCTGCCTATCTCGTTAGATGCCCTAGAGCTACGCCGGGACATTCAGTCGGAAGTTCGGGCGTGGGTCATATTGATGGCTTGGGCATTGAACTTCTTGTACTGCACAGGCTGGGAGCAACCACGCCACATGGATCATCCCGGGAAGCTGACTACGGCGCAAACCAAGATGGTTGATCAGCACTTGGTGCCCGCGGTGAGGCGCATGTGCCCGAAGGGATTGAAGATCCCATCTTATCAGAAACTAAAGGAGCAGCTTCAGAAGAAAGGCTACGGTTATGATGGATCTAGTTGGGTGGTGATGGAAGACCTTGCAGCCGACAAAGTGATTCCATGTTGGCCAAACAAGGGGGAAGCTGCCGTTCAGCCCATCACCAAATTTTTACATGGTGACACAAAGGAGATGGTAAACAAACCACTGCTCACCATCCTTCCGGCGGAAGAATGGCCAGAGACGGTACCCCAGTCGTATGTGCGGGCCTCGGATGCCGAGTGGGAGAGGCTCGTGGCAGAGGGGTATCAGCTAGGTCTTTTTCAGCCTTGCCCGGAGGAAGAGATCTTGAGAAGCCCCTCCGGTGAAATGATCCTGAATGGGGCCGGAGCAGTCCCAAAAGAGAAGAATGGCAAGATCTTGCAAAGATTTATATCTATTTTATGTCCATTGAATGCGGTGAGCCGCAAAATTGAAGGAGATGAGTCGACCTTGCCCTATGTGGGCCAGGTGGGGCTTTGTGAATTGGAGGCCGAAGGAGCCATAGTTATAGACAGTGAGGATTTGCAGTCGGCCTTCAATTTGTTTGAGATGCCACGGGGATGGCGTGGCATGTTCGTGTACCGCAAGCAGGTGAGAGGAGGAGTCCTTGGCTTGCCTCACGATGAGATGACATGGGTGTCGCTGAGGACGGTGCCTATGGGATGGCTCTCCGCAGTGGGGATTGTTCAACAAGCCATCAGGACTCTCGCGTTTGAGGAAGCTGGACTCCCCAGACAGTTTGAAATTCAAAAGAACAAGGAGCTCCCTGAGGGAGAACGCTTCTTACTTTACTTGGACTCGGTGGATCAGTTGAGGCCGGTCAGCCAAGCAATGAGAAAGGTAGTGGAAGGACAGGCGAGCCCTGAGCACCAGCGTTTTGAAGAGGCATGCCGGCGGTGCGGATTGCCTACCAATATGAGCAAGCGTTTGGCGGGGGCCCTAAGAGGAACCCTACAGGGGGGTCTCCTTGATGGAGAAGCAGGGGTGTTCATGCTGCACCCGGACAAAGGGGCCTTTACAATCGGAGCTTGCATGTGCCTGCTGGGATCCCGGACATGGGAAACTAGAGTGGTGGCAGGGCTCACAGGGCGATTGGCTTTCGCCGGTGCATTTCGAAGGCCAGCCATGTCACTGATGAGCGAGGTGTTCCATTACTTCGGCAGCAAGCCTACATCCAAAGTGGCAAAAGATGATGCCTACGATGAGGTCTTGCTGGCGATGGCCTTGCTGCCCTTGAGTTTCACAAACCTCAAGGCCTCAATCTGTGGAAGAATCTATGCCACTGACGCCAGTCCAATGGGGGCCGGGTCGTGCGTAGCCGAGCGCTTCAAGCGCCCGTTTGGGACCACAAGCCCAAATGACCTGGTGTGTGGGGTGTGCCGGACAGAGCTCACGGATGAGACAGCCCGTGGAGAAGACTTGGCCTGCCCCGCGATGTGCGGGTGCAAACTTTGCTCTTTGGAGTGCTGCTTGAGGCACGCGCCTTATTGCCCGCATCAAGCGGTAGGAGTTCCATTGTTTTCGGAGAGGTACAGTGGTCCAGAGGCCAGATTGTCGAGAACCATGTTTAAGGCTGGATTCAGAGTGGTTGACCCCATAGATTACAAGTGGGGCAGCACTATGGATGTATTCACGGAGAGAGGAAAAGAATGGTGGGCCCATGCCGATGCATCAGACCCAACCCTTGAGCATCACGCTCCGGACAGCAAAACCTTTTCAAGGGCGCGAGGTAGGCCTTATCAGTTTGCCGGAAAATGGTATGAGGGGCCAGTGGCACTGAGGGATGAAAGCCACGTGATGGGGTTCACTTACCTAGCAGCGCATGAGGCAGCAGCGGTGAGGAAAGGAAACAAGATGGCAATGAGATCCATCGCGAGGTGCAGGACCCTCCACGAAGAAGGTCGCTTCTTCACCTTGGATCACCCCCGGCGCTCTTGGATGTGGTATACCAAGCCAGCCATAGACCTGGCAGGTCTTCCAGGAGTGAGGATGGCGATCTTCTCCCATTGCTGTTATGGGGGAAGGCGCAAAAAGTGGACGAGCTTACTGACCAACAGCGAGACCATCTACCAAGCCCTTCACAAGCCTGTTTGCCCCCACGGAGATTACTGGGATCAGCAGCTTGGCCAGGTGGTGTTCCCAATGGAGCAAGAAGCAACATACCCCTGGGGTTTGTGTGAGGAGTACGCCAAAGCAGCCGTCAACCTCATGAACCTGAGTGAGCACAGGGAAGAAGCCCTTGCCGAAGTACGCAAGGTGAAGATCAGAGAAGACCTCATGAAATATGACCGGCTGCAAAGTCCGGGCTCGCAGGAAAAGGTGGTCAGTGGCATCTTGCATATGGAGAGGACCATGCAAATTGGGTTCGAAAAAGCTCATCTACAGCAACTTCTTCGCCTGGGTCACTATCGTGGCACAGATGTCAGGTTGGCCGTCGAGGAACAGGGAGGACGGCAACTGTTTCCGTACCCAGCCTATAGATGGCTGTGGCGTGACGTGCTGTCATTCAGATGGCGACAGGAAGGGCATATCAATGAGTTGGAATTTCAGGCCTTTTTGGCCCACATTCGCCGAGTGCTGCGGGAGCCTGACATGCGCCACAAAAGGGTGTTTGTGGTCGTGGACAGTCAGGTACTCTACTATGCGCTCGGCAAAGGGCGCTCTCCATCCACTAGACTCAATCGAGTCCTGCGACGTTTGGCGGCTATATCCCTGGCAGGCGACCTGTATACTTTACCGATTTGGACTCTGTCAGCATGGAACTTTGCTGACAGACCTTCCAGACGGTGAGGTGATGCCTAAGGCCCCACAGACACTTCGCTATGCCGGGTTAGCCACAAAAAGACAGTTGCAGCCTATCGTCGCGCCCTATCAGCTTTCTTTTCGTATCTTGAAGATGAAGAGATTGAAATGCCCTCAAAGTTTCACCACCTTGATCGCTTGATTGCCCAATATCTGGAGTCCCTATACTTGGACGATACCCCAATTTCTTACGCAGGGCATTTGTTGAGTGCCTTCCGCCGCTTTGTGCCCCAGTCGCGGTTCAAGATCCCTATTGCCAAACAATGGTTCTCAAACTGGACCTCTGAACACGTGCCCAGGCAGGCAATTCCCATGCCAGCCAATGTGGTATTAGCCCTTGCCGGGGCAGCGCTTGAGGTGCGGGAGCATGCGCTTGCCGCTTTGTTGCTTCTTGGGTACAAAGCCCTCCTGCGAACCAGTGAGATGACCTCCCTTAGGTTTGATCATGTCAGCTGGAAACCAGGGGAGCCCAATGTGGTTATCGCAATTCCGTTTTCGAAGACTTCGCCCAAGCGCCCCCAGAGTATCTTGATTCGTGACCCTTGGCTACCTTTTTTACTTAGCTTCGCCTGGGAGCGCTCTGAATCTGCTTTCATGTGGGATGGTTCGACCCCGGCCTTCCGTCAGGCCCTCCGTTTGCTTTTAGATACTCTAAACCTAGCCTCGGTTGGCTTTACTGCTTACAGCATCAGGCGTGGAGGAGCCTCTCACGCATTTGCCCAGGGAGTTTCTTTCGACTCTCTGGTTGAATTGGGGCGGTGGAACAGCGTCAAGACCGCCCGTTTATACTTGGATTCGGGCCGAGCAGCACTTATTCAAATGCACTTTCCACCTCACGTTAACATGCAGCTAGCTACTTTTGTGGCAAAGGCCACTGTTTTTTGCAAGCAACTTCGTCAGGGGCGCAGGCTCAAAATGGTCTTGTGAGTGCCCGCTAAATTGGGTGTGCCAGCAAGGGGAGGTTAGGTGGTTGGGCGATGCCCTTACCAGGCTCCATGGAGCCTGTGGTAAATGTCTCCTATGTCTATAGGGTGAGTGGGATCACCCTGTTTCGGTCAGTCCTCCTGTAGGTAGAGGAATTCGCTGGCACTTTAGCCTTGCTGTGGCCTTTAAAAGGCGCGTTTAAGCTGTGATATATATATAATTATATATATAGCATGTAATATCGCTTTTTGCCAAGTCCCTACGTTAGTCTTAGTATCATCAAAAGGACAGGTCAAGGAGGTCGATAGTTATCGGTAGTTCTTATATGATTATATGATATTATATGTTATAATGGTAATTGAAGGTGTACCCCATCTAAACTGGTATTCCTCAGGATTTTCACTTCTCCATCTACCACGGCGGGGGCCGAAGAAAGCCGGTTGTAGACCGAACTGGATGGAACTGAGCCACCCTCAAATTTAAACACAGAAGGACCTTTGTTTTACAGATATCTAAAGATACTATATAAAACTCAGGTCAACTAGTTGTTTTTTTTTAATGGTCTTGGAAGGCTAGGGTTTTATTTTGGAAACACCAGAGGGAAGCCCCTCCAGGAACAACCAGATCATGCCAGGACCAGACTATACTAAGGAGGTCGATTCCGACAACCACATCAGACCATCCGTCCTGCCCGCCCGTCGCGGTCAGGGCGCAACAGCACTTCATCGAGCAGCCCAGGCTGGCCAAGGCTTCGCGGTCAGGGCCATGGGGCCGCGTGGGGAGTCAGATCTCAATGGGTTTTGAGAAAATGTGGACCACCAAACAAGCGAGCTCGACACAAAAAACAGGATTCTTCTGTGTGAAGACCCATTGGGAAGTCAAGATCTGGACGTCAAATCAGGACAAGTTGTACTCTAGAACCTGAGGGTCGTCCAGAGCTGGTGCTTGCGGCCTCAGGGAAATCCAAGGAAGGCAGCACGAAGATGTAGTCGACAAGAACCTATGTTTCTTGACAAAGCGTTGGTCTATCAAATAACCATAAACAACCATAAACAACCAAAACGAATAGACTCGCCGTTTGGTGAGGTCTTTTTTGTCTTTGCGTTTTAACCGCCATTCCATTCACAGCTTCAGTCGTCGTTCAGCCTCGAACCCCGCCTTCGCGTCCTTCCCTATCTCATTTATCAGAAATGGCTGATCTGCTTAGTTTCAAGTCGACGTCGATTGCTGGTTCTTCGGCCATTCCGCCCCACTTCGGCCCATCTCCTGGCGGCGCTTCCCGGCGGCGCTTCCCGCGGGGTGCCCGGTTCCCGGGCGAAACCGACACCGGGCGTGCGATCGGCGTGGTGACCGGTGGGATCTGCCAGGCGAAGCGTGCTTCGTGCTGTTGGAACATCCCAACTTCACCATGGTGAACAGCCAGGATGGTGTTCGAGAGGGAATCTTTTTCAGGGCGAGCTGAGGAGCAGATGCTTCATGTGTGAAGTCTTTATCTGAATTTAAAGAATCTACCTATTTTATGCGGGAATTAACGTGGAGTGTGTATACGACGTTTTGGAGTTATCTCAGCATAGTCGGGACACATTACTTCATTACTTACCTTTTTGGAAGTGGGCGCTACTCAATGTGGGCTCAACATTTCCCCAATCTGCCTAGTAAAAGGAAAACAAAAGGACTCAAACTTGTGGGTAGAGTCGGCATAGTCAGTCTTTTTGAGCGTCTAGATTCTAGATCACAGCCTAGCAGCGAGCGACTCTCCAAGTCCGAGTAAATCCTAAGGGCCGAATTCGCCGGTTTCTCCTCTTGGCCAAAGCATCTGGAATCCCCGCTGCGTCCTGGAACCCTGCCCATCTTGGGATCTTTTCCATTTTTCCCCTGGGAGTCTGACGAGGTGATCCGAGTCTATTCCTGAACACTTTGAAGCCATGGTGCCAAGGGCGGCCATCGTTTCCTGGACTTATAGGGTTCAACACTTGCTGTGTTTGCTTTCATTTGATCGAGGCCTGATCCGTCCGGGATCACGCCCGCCAGCTTCTCTTCCGCGGCGGACACGCCGTGCGGGTGACGCACCAGGATTTCCAGCAACGCACAGCGTTGCACTTGGCAGCTGAACATGGCCAAGTAAAGGCTGCAGAGGTGCGAGCGGAGTGAGAGTCGAAGAAGATGTCAAACAAAACATGTACTGCTTTGGTCTGTGACATTCTGTGACGATTTCTTGACTTCTAGGCCCTAGGCCTCAAGAATATGGAGCGCTATATATATATATAATATGTTGGGCTGTTTCATGTTGGAAAGCCAGCATCAGCTGGAAGTGGGTGATCGAGATGGGCTGCAACATATTATAGTCCAGTCCTCAAACAAAAGCAATCTATAAAGTGAATCCCCATTGATCCTCAAGCAGATATATAAAGGTGTTGAACCCGTTTGTTAAGAGGCAAGACGATTTGTGTGCAGACTTTGTTCGCATCGCTATGGAAGATACTCGGTACTGTCGACACGCTTAAGGAAATGAACACAGGATAACACAGGCCTTCGCTGGTGTACTTTCTCATTGGCAGCATTTGCCAGTGGGCTGACTAGCGTACTACGTAGTCACATTCTTTGCATATTCAATCTGGCTTGTCCATTCCATCTAGTTTGTTCTTTATGGGTTGTACAGCTGTGGTGTTTGCTTCCTGTCAGCACTTGGGAAGGAGCCTGGAGCAAGCATGCAAGTTTTCCGGCTTCACAGAACTGGACCGCATGTTCCCGGGAACCCGGACATCGCAATCCCCTTCGGTGGTTGGTATGGAACCCCATGTCTAAGACATCTTTGGGTGCCAGTGCCAGTGCATTTACTGTACTGATTTAGCCCATTGTACTGCTGACACATGGTGAAAGAAACCAGACCCGTTGTTACAGAAACCAGTGTACAGTGCATTTACTGTACATCTTTTCTATTCTGAAACCACTGTACTGATTTAGCCCATTCATGTCTAATCGAACTCACCAATCTCGCCGGGACACGGCGACCTCACAGCAACCGCACGACCAATCTTCACGCCTCGTGTCGGCCCCTTGCGTTTTTTTTTGTTGCCTCCACTCTATAGGAACATGTATAGGAACCGTATACAGCTTCTATGAAATCCATTTAAAACCTATTAACAGCATACAACATACAGCATGCAGCATGGAACTGAATACAGCATACAGTTACAACAACAGCTCCTATGACATCCGTTTATATAGCCTTCACCTCGAGGTCTTGTTGAAGCACGCTCGCTTCACCTCCGCTGGGAAGTGCCAGCGGGATGGGATGACAGCGCTTCATGTGGCGGCCAATGGAGGCCTGAGGTCGGGGGGTGGCGCGGTTGGGGTCGGTGGGTGGGCAGAGCCTGGGGTCAGGCCTTGGGAAAGCCAGCTTTGGGGTCTGCAAGTGAAAGAAAGTGCAATGCACAAGAGAAAAGACTGGAAGATGGAATGCAAAGCATGGTTTTTCGGGGGGACATGTCTTTCAGCAAATGAAGCAACCATAAGCAAGTATCGGTATCAGATCTTCATCCACAATATCCGTCCTCACCTGAACCGAATCAAAGCACCTCATAGAACTCTCGTCGCAGAACAAGCTCTCGACCTCTTCGGCGAATCGGCGAATCGCCGGGGTTTCCTCGCTCCGTTTCGCCTCGGCGCCTCGCTGCGATCATCGATCCATGCCCAAGCCGGATCGATGGAGACCGTGACGCCCGACTGGTCGGATCGGGCGATGGGGACGTCCATCGCCGGACGTTGACCGTCGGAACATCGGTCGGAACGTTCGGAAGTCCATGCCAGTCTGGTCTCCCTGGGTCTCCAACAGTGGGTTGACTGAAGCATGAAACAGACATGGACTTTTCCCAGATGGTCGGGATGTTCCGGAAGGACTCAGACGGGGTCAGCGATGGATCGTGGTGAAGACATGGAATTCGTGCATGTTCCCGGACATCTGTGCCGCACACATCCGAAGGGTCAACGAGGTTTTTTTAAGCGGAATGACCAGAGAATATAGAGGATACACTGGGTCGTTGGTTTTGAAAGGGTGAGCTGTGCATGAAGTGATCATGCTTAACTTATAGTGAAGAATTCCGGGTGCAAACTGGAGATGAAACAGCCAGCGCAGCGGCCGCTAACGAGACAAGCATTGTGGCTCGCTCTAACCAGCCCCGTTGTTCTGAGAAAGTTGTTTCGCGTTGCTCGCCGCCATGGCCAAACTCCTTGGTGTGCTTGGTCTTCTGTGCATCTTTATGAGATACGCCACGGGTGTGCGGTCCATGCCAAAAGAGGAGAAGGAACATGCCTCTCAGCTGGACAATTAGCGGGATTGAATGTATACATTGGCGTTTACTCGAGCGCGTGCTCTTGTGTGTTTCAATCCCAAACTGAATTCGGAGGTCGCTGGATCCCGAGCATCATTTGGGTGTAGGATGGAGGGCACTGGTGCAACAATTGCAGTGGTGGTATAACTGTTAAACAGTTTTAGACTATAGGGGGACCAACAAATGTTGGATTAATGAGTCAACATGCGACAGTGCAACTCATGAGGGGAGTGCAATTCCAGGGAGTTTGTTTGGCCTATAAATTGCACGGAATTGCTATTTGAATGAAACAGCATGAAATGAAAATAAGTAATATGAAGAAGGAATGGATGCCCTTTCAAGGACTTGGACAAAAGGATTGGGAGGAAGCTAGGCGATCTCAGAAGCACGGACTAGGCCACTAAACAAAGCAAAACACGTCGTTTTTCATGGCTGCAACCAAGCCTTTGCATTATTCCAATCCCCAAGCCAAATACTGTTTGCTTATGGACTTACTACCCTGATGAAAAAGTGTTTGGGGCAATGTTTTTGGACTGGTTTGAACAAGGTATTGAATTCAAGATGTTTTGAGGGCCAAATGCTCCCACAAAACTATACAACACCTGCCAAGTACAGTATTTGCCCAAAATCCTTTGCTCCTTACCTGTCAGGAACTGATCCAACAGCTTGAAGATGAAGATGTGATGCCTTCGCTGCACGATTTGCTACACGACAACAACCTTGCCTCGACGCCCTTCCCGTCACCAAGCACGCCGCGCGTCGCGTCTGGGTGGAGCAGCTTCGGCTTCCTCGAGGACGTGGCAAGTGGCCTCCTAGAAGAGGAGATGGAGTCCACGGAGGAGAGGCAGACTGGAAAGAAGGTGGGGGGAAAAGGGCGACTAGGAGGTGGTGGTTTTCAGTGAGATGTGCAGGCCCATATCCACAAGCAGATCCACAATCCATCAGAATCCACCCAACATCGGTCAGGTTTCAAAAACTCCAATCCTTGACAGGTGACAGGTTCTTTTGCGATCATTTTGGAACCAGTTTTTCCCAAATCCAACTTTGATCAGATCGCCCTACCAGTTGACCCTGCTATTCTTTTGGGCACTGTCTTCCCCCAACTTCAGCAGGTCGGCGGCCGTTCATTTCGATCGGATCGCTCTTGAAAGGAGGGCTGCAGCGGCGGCTACGCGAAGACCACGAACTTGCTCGGTTCAGGCGGCAAAAGCCGGGATGAGATGACGGGGTTGTTAGTGTTTGGTTGGCTGGTTGTGATTTTCCCCATGGCGATGGACGATTTTGCAACTGTAGCCCAATGCTTGGGTTTGGAGAACGAAAAAGGCCGGGAATCATCCCCAATTTGCCTACACAGACTCAGCAAATATTTTGGGGAGCCAGTGAAAGCTCGTTGCTCCAACCTGTGAAATGGCGTGTGTAATCTCATGTAACCTCTCATAGTCTGTCTATACGTTTTACAATTTACATCTATATCTCCCCTCATTGCCACTGTAAACGTTATATAATACACATGTTACATGTACCATGTTAAACCACTCCAAAGCAACATTGGAAAAAGATAAGATCATGGAACCACCTGCAGTCGCAGTCACCGGCCTTCTCTCCGTCACCGGCTGTCGCGGTGGAACCGTGGTCTGGTCGGGGACTTGGTTCATCGGACGTCTCCGACAGGAACGTATGGTACTGTCTATGAGGCTGAGAAGAAGATTGATGAGAAGCCTGGCAGCGTCAGTGTCGGATCTTGTTGCAGGTCCAGGTCCAGGTGAGTAATATTAAGTTGAGTGAGCTCGACCCCGAAAAAAAAGCTCCCCAACGGAGAAAAGTACACATGCCAGTTGCCAGGTGAAACTGGAGTGTTTGGGAATGGTTTGGATCCAGAAGAAAGGGATGCAACAAAGAAAATTTCGGGACGACTATGAGCAATCACGCCAATCTCGTTCGCTGCCTCTGGGTGTTTCTCCAGCTTCTGAGACCTGCACGGCTGGGTCTCCGCTGGAGACGAGACCTAGAATTTGCAGAGCCTTTTGGTTTGTAACAGTCTGCAACCAAGTGCTGCCTTCAGGAATGCAGGATCCCTTTCTTCCAATATCAGTTGAGTGGTGACGGTAGCTGATCTGGCTGTGTTTGCTGCCCGCTGAGCTATCCTTGCGGTTTTTCGAGGCTGCACAGACAGTATAGTTGAGGAAGAACATTTCAAAAGAGGTCGTTTGTAGTTTGTGCGGCGACCATTTTGATGGCACTCTACCCAAGTGAGAATGTGGCTGAAATCTTGTGCATGATGGCATGACTGTTTTCTCAGAAAAGCACCACTGTGTGATGTAGGAGTCGTTTAACATGGCAATGGTTATAAAATGTTATACAGTTATACTAAAATATGCGGCGTTGTCTCACCCTGGTGAGACCCATGCTAGCGAAGCTGTGCCTTTTGGGTTTCCTTCCCCGGTAAGGTTACCTGTGATGCCAAAGCGAAGGCATTCCCAATTTGGAAAAGATCATGGTTTGGAAAGTCATTTTTGCTTATCTTTTTTTGGAGGCATCAAGTTGATAAGATTCTGTCCCTCTCCCAGGCTGGTCTTGGAGTGCAAATGTTTTCCACCTCCTTAACAACAACAGTGTTTTTCAATGACCGACTTTGTTTATGTTTTTGTATCATGCATCCCCGGTCATCTCTTCGTTGTTTCCCAGGAAGTGGTATAAAAAAAAGGCAGAGACAGCGCGGCTTTGCTTTGAAAATTGCAAAGGAGGACCGCCATAGCATCAGAAGCGTGCAGAAAGAGTCGCTTGGCAATATTTGAATGACGTCGCAACATGGAGACGAGCCTGCATATACAAGAAGTTCTATGTCATACGATGTGTACTTCTGACTTCTACTTGTTGTATTTACCAGGCTACCGCCTGCAGCCGCCGACCCCCAAGGCATAGAACCTTAGCGCTAGCCTTGCTCCAGGCAGAGAGGTGGGGTGAGGCGTGACTGTCGATGTTAGCCTTATTAACCTTAGCCTAGCCTTAGCGTTAGACTTAGCCTTAGCCTTAGACCGCCCCCGGGTAGGAGTTCCCCATTTTTTCCATGGTTGTAGAATTATCTAGCATGTCCGCTTGCATGTAGGTTCCCTGATTTGCTCAAAAATTGATGAACTTATTTTTAATCCCGGCCAATGCCCTGGAATTTTCCCAGGAATGCGCTAGGCTTTGTGTTGATTTTGCGCTGGACGAGGTCCAGCCAGTGCCCGTGGTAACGTGAAAGGCCCTGGTAAGATTTTCGCATGCCTGTCAGGCGCCCGTGTCCGCGCCATGTGGCGTGTTGGTTCTAGGACGGAGCAGCGCAAACGGAAGCTCGGGGAGGTGATGGCGAGCTTCTCGCGCCAGCCAGGGAAGAGACCGTAGCCATGTACACGCGGGCGGCACGCGCGCGTGGCGGAATGTCTGCAGTGCGGTAGGCCAGGGGGGGAGGGGGGGACGGAAGGGTGTGGAAGCGGGTGGTTCCACGGTAGGAGGAAGGACGTTGCCGTGGATGTGGGGAGGGTAGGGTTTCCTGGAGCACCCTTTGAGCCAAATGCAGGAGTTGAGAAGAGCCCCCCGTCGCCCAAGTTGTCGGGTGAGAGGCAGCCGGTGTTTGTGTTGTGCGTTTCCTGCGGGAGAAGGGCGCTGCCCATGGTGTTTGCTAGGTCGCGTCAGCCAGCGAGGGCGTTGCCCATGTATGTCCCCTTATGCAGGCCACGGAAAACTGTTCGGTGTAGTTGTCGTGAGCGGAAAACGCCGGCGCGCAGTGTTTGCATGGGAGGCTGGCGGAAGCCGACGGCTGCTGGAGCTGGACGAGGCGCAAGGGCGTCGCTTACTGCCCTGCTCGGGCGCGTTGCGTTCTACGCGCCGTGGCGGAGTAGGGAGCTGCCCATGGGAGACAGTAAACGCCACCAGCGAAAGAGGGCACGGCGCGCCGCGACCACCCCGGGAGTCGAGCCTGAGATCATTTTGGACCATGCGGCTTTCCTGTGAAT